CCCCGCCCGAGATCCAGCCCGGCCAGCCCCTTAAAGCGGACACAGTGCTGCAAGCTCCAAACGACCCTGTTCGCTGAAAAACATGCGCATCAACCCTATTTCCCTTGTATTACTCGCTGCAACCCGCCAGCGAGCGAGAGGACAGGGTGAGCAACGCTGATTTCGAGGCCAGGCATCCTCAGAAAGTGCCGGCAGCAAACCCTAATGTGCTGCATCGAGTATAACCCTCCACGCTCTTACGGGTTCAAAAACAAGCATATGCTGGGCTGAAAAATAACCCTGCATGTTGAACCCTTCGACTGTTCTCGACCGGACGTCGAAATGCTTGTACCAACGCGGTAATTATGGCTGGGGAGCCCTGCAGGGAGCCGCCGCCGTCGGTGTCTGAACCGGCCGGCTCCTGGGCGTAGGCCTCGCATGGAGACGCTCACACGTGGGTTTTCATGCCTGCCAACGTGCTTCGACACCGAACGCAAGCATCCGAGCGGAGAGGATCTCATAGCACGGTTGCAACCCCGACGTGCTTCGCCGCTCCGCGAGGGGACCGAGAGTTGCTGCGTGCAACGAGGGTGACAGACTTCTGCTCTGTAGAGAAGTTTCCTAAAATTCAGGAAGAGCTGTTTGTTTCCCAACGGACAGTTAAGGGTCAAAGAACTGAAAGGGAATCGCAAACAGTCTTGCAAAGCTGCTCGTGTCACGTGTCACGTGCGTGTCTAATGAAAGCTGACCACAAGCGTGCGCGTGAGCTGTCGGGTGGGGGGGGGAAAGCAGGCCGGCCATCCTGCTTCACACTTCATTACTGAAAGTTAACACGTTACAGACTTGCATAATTTCCTGGCAGATCTGCATTTGCAAATCCTTAGCTTTGTTTTTGAGAAAAAAACAAGTTCCCTGCAAGCATTTTGTAAAGCAAATGAGATAACCAGTTTAAATTGCTTTAAATCTTGACGCTTGAGCACGCGTACAGCAACGTACGCTTGAAATTCGGTTCTGCAGCTGATGATGAGGCTGCCTGGGGCCTATTCCTGGTTGTGCCCTGAGCTCACCGTAGGTCTGTCTGTGCTGCTCCCCTGTCCTGACAGGGAACCCAACGGCTCTTACTTGCAATCCTCTCCTAGACTGCCTCATGTCCCTGTCTCCTACTCATTCACCCTTTCTCTTACCGCTTCAGCTCTCAGCTGTTTTATAAACCTCCGTTACCTTCTGTGTAACTTTAAATTAAAATAACAGCCTGATTCTTACGTCATACCGCGGATGTAACTGCTGCAGTAAGTGGAGAGATACTGATGTAAAATTACAGTGAGATCTCATTGATGTCAGTAAATCCCTGGATTTACATGGGTAGAAAAATTGTAGCCCGTTTTTCAGTTCTATAAACTAACTGTCCCATTTGTTACTTATTTATATTGGAGTGACATATGGGTGCTCCATTCATGGGCCAGGAAGCAGCAAGTTGCAGCACAAACCCAGAATAAAAAGATAGCCCCTGCCCCGGAGGGTTTACAATCTCAGTGTGAGAAAAGGGATGGGGAAGGTGGTGAAGTACAAGGAAGAAACCTCTCAACCTAGAGATTGGTCCCCATTTTTCATACTGGGTTTGCGTGAGTCCTTGAGGCTGACATCTTATCGCCATAGAAACAGTCTCCTGTGTCATTGTGGACATTACAGTAGTTATGTGTTGCTGTGGCAACGTTTGTCATGGCATCTGCCCAGACATTAAGTATTTCAATTAATTGTGAGATTTAGCTGTTTAGTTACATAGACCCAGTACTAAGTCATCTTCTGAAAAAGAATTTCAATAAATCTCAATCTCCCCACATTACTTTGATTTAAAGAAGTTCAGTGAAAGGAGTTTGATGCATGTGCCCTAAACACTCTTAACATCGTTCCACAATGTATTCTTGATACAACAATACTGTTTCAGAAAACCCATCGCTGGTAATTTAAATACTCGTTCCCTACAAACATTTCCTCAACTTTACAATTCCTTTCCATTTTCAAGTGTGTGGGCAAAAGGACTAGAGTGCCCTGAAAGTTCAGCAATTTCAGACCAGTAGAGGCAGCAAAATGCTAATACCCTGCCAGTCACCCCCTCTTTTTTAAATTAATAAGATGCCAGCTTGAGTTTTTTGTTCCTCTCAAATCTGATAGTCTAGCAGAGAGGCAGCATCTCTCTATGCTTCTGATTCAGTTCAAAAAAGGTAATTTTATCTCTGATAAGGGGAATGTAAGAAAAACAACTGTGGCTTGGAGAATAGGTGGAATGGTAGTTCTGGGACATGATCAAAATTTTAAATTGAGTTGGTGTTTACCAATTTTTAATAACTTTACTCTTCTGAGTTTGCTGTAATGTGCTTCGTTTTCTGTTATTTTATGCTTTAATCATTGTAAAAACACACAAAGCAGCTGGATACCAGCTTGTTAATTTTATACTGACTTAAGAATTGCTATTGGGATGACAGAAAGCTGTTTGAGGTATTGTGGAAACCTCTAACTAGGTAGATTTTTGCAATAAGACTGAAAGCTAGACAATAGATTGAAGTGTTGGTAGAGTTGAATGCCCGACTTTCAAGTTTCCCATGCAGACTCAGAGTTGATGTAGCAGATGTACTGACACATCCTGCGAAGTGCTCCATTCACTCAAAGGCAGACAAGGTTGTTTGGGTAAATCTGATATCTTTTATTAGACCAACTCAAACAGTTGGAAAAATTCTTCTTAGCAAGCTTTTGGGTATAAATACCCTTTGTCAGCATGAAAAACCTCCAGTTGGTGTGTGCTCTTCCCAAAGAACCTTGTCAGCCTATGTCCTTAGACCAACACGGCTACAACCTACACCCCCATTCACTCAAAAGATTTTCACAAGCAAGACAGGTGAGAAGATTAAGAAGGTCCTTTGACTAATGACATGACAGAGGGGACTGAGCTCACAGTTAGCAAATCTGAACGTGATACCAGGCGGGATTGAGTTGCGGACACTGTGGAGGACAGGATTGGGATTCAGAATGACCCTGATAAAGTGAAAAGAATAGAATAAAGACAAACAGCACTCTGGTTGAGAATCACTGACTAGGTGGGCTGCAGTACTGCAAAAAAGGACCCTGGGGGCTTCAAGTTGAATATTAATCAACAGTATGCTCTTGTTGAACCCTCCCCTCATCAAAAATCCCCCCACCAATTGCATACCAGGTTGTACTAACAGGAATGTCACTTGCAAGTCAAGGGAAGTGATTCTTCCACTCTGCTCAGCACTGGTGTGATCTTACCTGGAGTATGGTCCCCTGTTTTGGGCACCACACTTCCAGAAAGATGTGGACAAAATTGGAAAGAGTCCAGTAACAAAAATAATCAGAGGCTTAGGAAACATGATTTAAGAGAAAAGGCTAGAAAAAAAACTATAGAATCATAAGGGAAGGGACCTGTAAGATCATCAAGTTTGATGATCTTATCATCAAGATAACTTAGTTTGCGATGACTTAGTTTGGAGCAAAAGATTGAGGGGGGTTTCAGATTCTTGAAGGGGGGGAATAAAGAGGATAGAGATAGATTAGTTTGGGGCTGCAGGGACAGGACAAGAAGTAATGCACTTATCTGTAAATTGCAACAAGGGAAATTTAGCTTGGACACAGGGAAGAACTTTCTAACTACGAAGTTTTGCTTCATTATGCAACTCAGGTGACTGCTAAACTTAAAAAAAAACGTAAGTACTTTAGGTAGGGTGCAGGCACTCTTTGAAGACTTCAACTCCATTTTTCTTCCATGGAAAGATTTCTGTTTGCTGCCTTCTGGACAACAGAGACAGCTAAAGAAACTACACTTGAACAGTTGCAGGAATGACTCATCTCATTACATTATTCTCACTACTTTGCATAGTAATAATGTTTTTAACCCTAATTAGTTTTCTTTTCAAAGTGAAGTTAATTGTTATCTGGGTAGAATTGTTTTACATTTGCACTGTCTTTATTTGCAGTATAAAATTCTTCAACTGCGTTGCCATTACCATAAGGACAGTGAACAACAGAAGACAATTAAAAATGTCTGTTAAAATAATACTGCCTCACAGTCATGCTCGGTCTCTGCAGCTTTGTCTTTCTGCAACACAATGATTCCTCAACCACTAAAATGCCCCAAACAGATGACAGCCACAGCAGAATGCCTTTTACTTAACCAGCACAACATAGTGAATATCTGACTGTTGAGCAAGATGGCAGGAAGCTTTTTGTAGAATTGTGCCACCTGCATATTCTTTCATAATTTTTTCCGAAACACAGTATTTGACCCACTCAATACAGAAGGCTCTGGCGTGTGTAAATTAGGCACAGCTGCAATGCAGGTGGGATGGTGTGGCTGGACAAGAGCTCTTCCTGGTGGTAGCCTGGAAGACAGCAATCAGGCATGCAGAGTGCTTCTCTAGGCAATTCTTCACCCACCAAGAGGCAGTTGCAGTGTCTGAAAGTGAGTGGGCCATGGCACAACCACTTTAGGGTGTCTTAGACTACTGTCAGACTGCTGTAGTTCCCATCTCTTGCATTCAGAGGGCGCGTCCCCACAAGCAGGAACGTGGGTTTCCCTGGGGACAACTAGCAGTGTCACATATTTGTGCCACTCTCTCCGGGGAACACCCCTGCACACATGCTCTGGTACGTGACAGATTGCCCCAGGTGGGGTAGGGGAGGCTGGAGATACCACCCGGGCTGGCTCCAGCAGCCTTAGCTGGGATCTTGAGGGCCTCTGAGGGCTGCAGCAGTGGTAATCCAGGTGCACAGAACCTGGCTGGCAGCCAGAGCATGGCTCTGGCCACCCAGGTTCTGGTTTTGGCCGGCGCACACTGCTCCCACGTGTGCTGTACCACTTTTTTTTTTTTTGCACGTTTTTTTAGATATCAGGAGTTCCCGGTATCTCACCATGCTGTAAATATGGTGAACCAATTCATGTGCACCATGTGCATTTTGCAGTGTCTCAAAAGCCTTTGAGGCATTGCAAAGTGCACGTTCCCACTTGTGGGGATGCAGCCAGAGAACACAGAGTTCATGCTTGCCCCTCTGTGGACCTTCTAGGGGCGATTCCTTGTATCTTTCCCACTGCGCACCCAGACAGGGGTGGCTACATCTGGCTTTAAAAATCTCAGTAATCTTATTCATATGGGGAAAAGTTTCTCAAACTAGGGTACATGTATCCAGGGAGTATATAGGGATTTCTAGAGGGCATATGAAAGGAAGGAATGGGAAAGCAGAAGAAAGAAATAGGGAATATAAGCAGAGGAAAAGAAAGAAGGAAAAAAATGAACAACTCTACAACACCTCTTAGGTTGTTGGAGAGGTTACAGTGTAGTTAGAGTAACAAGTCTGAAAATGGCTGATCTTGCATCAGATTTTTGAAGGGGCTGTAATGTCTTAAATGTTTGGAAAACCAAAAAAGATCTATTCGTAGAAAATCCATCTCAGATATGTCTCAGTGCCAAAGGACTGAAGGTATTTAGTTACAAATATGTATTCATGCAACACAGGGATGATCAATAAACCTCCAATTAAAGGTCTCTGTCACACCTACCTCAGTGTGCTAATTTAAGGAGTAAGCAGTGACAGAACAAGGACCAATAAAATTATCCCTCCGATTTTGCATGCATTGTTTAACACTTGAAGCTAAAAGTAGAAACAAAGAGTCTGTTCCTGTTACTATTTAGTGACTTCAGTTAGCATACTATGTACAGAGCCTGGCACATGGCCAAATCCAGTGTAACTGGAGAGCTAATAACTTTCTTTGCATGTGCAAATATGAGGGTTTCTGTGCCCAATCAGTTGTACCTCCAGACTGCAGATGCTGTTTTAGTGGCTGCTTTTGAAAATCTGGGCCCTTATTTATAATGATAAATTAAAGCAATGTCATGATAAACCTATTACTGTTATTGTTAAATACTAAGGTTTCCTTGTAGCCATGGAAACAAAATCTAGACATTAACGTGGAAGGGGGAGAAACCTAGTGTTTCCTTGACAACTGATAAAAGCACAACTGCAGGAGACCTGAAGGAGAATCTGATGAAAGTACCTTTCACAATCAGATTTAACTGAAACGTAAGTCCAGTGCAATAATGTCTTTCACTGAATTGTGAGGAACTGTTGAAAGTATAGATCAGTGAAAATACTCAATTTGCAAACTATCAATAGTGGGGGTTTTGCACAAGATTATTTCACTTATTTTTATATTAAAATCATGCAGTGCTGTTCAGTGCTGTTACCTTTTCTTTGCCAG